TATCACCATTGGTTAACATACAAAAAAAAATTGGGGAAGCTATGGAGAATGAGAGGGAAAAGCTGATTTATGTGGCTAAGCTCGCTTATGAAGCTGGAAGATATGAAGGTATTTACATTCTAACAAGATCTTGAATTAAACTAGTATATTACGAATTTTTAGGTGGTTAATAATCATTTACATAGTTGGTTTACGCTTTCATGTTGTGGTCGAGTCATAGAGTGTTTTGTTAGAAAACAAATATTATTGTTATTCATTACATATGATTACAAAAGATCGATGCTATGTGGTAGATATGATGAAATCGATGAGAAAAGCATGTGAACATGAAGTGGAGCTAAGTGAAGAGGAGAGAGAGCTACTAACAATTAGCTACAAGAATGTGATGGTGACTAAGAGAGATTCATTAAGAACATTATCTTTGATTGAAAGAATGGAAGTCTCAGTGGGAAACCGGCTAAGTTTGAAACTGATCAAGAAACAACAAGAGATTGTTAAAAATGAGTTGTTCAATGTTTGTAACGACATTTTGTCTCTCATTGATTTTCATCTCATTCMATCAACTTCCAATGTTGAATCAATGGTCTATTTCCATAGAATGTGAGTCACATCTCATACTCATCTTCATTTTCATCTTTTCCKCTCTTGYTGATGATTTTGTTTCTTGGTATATGTAGGAAAGGAAATTATTTTCGATATTTGGCGGAGTTTGGTTCTGATGATGAACGTAAAGAAGCTGCGGATAAGTCTCATGAGGCATATAAGGTCCGTTTTAAATCGAATTTTAACTCTATTTTTATATATGAGTTTGTTGTTTGATGTATATATTAGTTTGGATAAAAGAAGAGTATACTTGTAGGTTGCAATGAAGATAGCAGAGAGGGGTTTATCACCAACGAATGTTGTTAGACTTGGCTTGGTTTTAAACTTCGCGATTTTGTATTATGAGATCCTTAAATCTACTGAAAGGTATAATATATAGTCTTTGCGATTTAATGCTTTTCAATGAAAACATGTATGAAAGTTTTCATATTCTATTTTACATATTGTAGATAATAATAATTTAGCTGTTTTGAAATTATACAGAGCATGTAAATTGGCTAATCAAGCTTACGAAGAAGCAATTGCTGAACTTGACGGTGTTAACAATCAATCGCATGAAGATGCATTATTTATCATAGAGATAATTAGAGAAAATCTTTCCGTGTGGATAGACGGTAAGTAATATATTTCATTTGATTGTGTTTAAGAAAAAAAATTACTTTGATCAGGATAATTAAATAATTTTTTTGTGAGCGATTTATTGATACTAAGTAATTAGATCATGTATCGATGAAGATAAAATCAATGGCAATGGACCTCGAATTTGATAAATTTTCAAATATAATATAAAAGTCTTCTTGTCAACTCCTATAAAAATGCTCGGGAATTCGATTCCACCTCTCTACTGCGTATTTAAACTCTCGTACAAGGCTTTGTATTTTACTATTTTGGTTTGATAGTTAAATCCATTAACTTTGTCAACAGTGTTGAACTAGTAATGCATTGTCTATTATTAAATAAAAGCCTATCAAGCATAAATTCTTATATAAACAAAAGAACGGTTGTGTGTGACAAAAAGAAAGAGGATGATTAGTTTTTCCTCTTGTTTTGGTCTTAACTCAACCATCTTGTAAGTTTCTTCTTCCATATTGATGAATCAAAAATGTTTTCTTTCGAGTAATTTTTTTATTGTTACTTTGATGTATACGTAAAATAACTCAATCTTGTAATCGATTCCACGTCATTAGCCACTTGATCACACATCAAAATACATCTAAAATAT